CCCCCACACACACACACACACACGATAAACCTTTGCAATCCTCGTGCTCATTAGTGCACGCCGACACTTTTGGGGCCTTCGCTTGCAAGGAAAATGCAAGACGACAGTCCACATTTTGAGCGGGGCTTGACTGACGGCTCCTTCCAGGACTCGCTTCCACACCAAAGCTCATTACTGTCCCCCAGCGAGCGCCTCGCACCCACCCTCTCGGCAACCACCATCTGTCCTCTGTCCAGCACACGTGCACGCACACGCACGCACACACAAGCTACTTGCGGGATTGGAAAGTCGCCCGGCAGATGCCAAGAAGCACTTAAGTCATTAGAGTCTTAAGACGTCATCTCGCACGACTGAACTAATTGTTCCCTCCGTCCGGCAAATGCGGTCACACATGAGGACGATGAGTCAGAAAGCCGGCAAATGTTGCTCGGCAAGTGACGGTCCAAGCTGCCAATCAACTTGCCGTCCCAACAAGACGAGCCCGTCCAGGCTCGCTCGGAATGAATCCGCGACAAAAGTTTGGGACTGCGGAGCAAGAAGCAGACCGCGCCACCGAGCCTTTTCTCATCCGGAGGACAAGAAAAGACGACGCGTCGGAAGGAGGAGCGCCGGAGACCACAAACGCTCAACTTCCGTGACAAAAGCCGCTTCAATGACAGAGCGCCAAATCACACCCGAGGGTGTGTGTCACGTTGCGAGCAAAGCGGAAAGGAACCCGCTTCATTCGCAACCAAAATTAACCTAAAGGATTCCCGAAACAGCAGACGACAACAAGAACTCCGTGTGAAAATAAGATTTATTAACAAAAACCGCACCGCAAAAACGAGACAACAGAAAACGCTGGCAAAAAACGAGTACCAGGAAAACACGTAAAAACCGAATAACAAAAAACGCTCGCACTAAGGCAAGGGGGAAAAACAAACTTGTCGCAATATAACACACACCGAGATTACTACACCAAATCTAACTCGCGCACAAAGACGAAATGCGAAAAGGCCGACACAATGGGCAAAGCAGTGGCACGGCAAGCAATTCTCCGGCAAGTGAGAGTACGAAAGACAGCCCTAATAAAGCCAGTGCCTAATAACAAATAGGTAGCAGGTGTGCATCCGGCCAGAAAGCACCGTCTGCCACCTGCTGTCGAAAACGGGACATGACAGTGTGAGCATCACGTGAGCAAGCGCCTGCCGACAGAGGCGATGGGGAAAAACTCCCACTCTGGGGGCGGGGGGGACCTCCGACAGACCCGATGATCAGCACGGGGCGCTGGGATCGGAGAGCACGAGAGGCGAGAGAGACAGACAAGAGGACACGCGGCACCCAAACGGTCTCCCGGGTCAACGCGAAACCGTGCAGCAAATCGTTGCGGGCAAATGCGGATGGGCGGCCGACGGCGCGCGAGGAAACGTGAAACGGCGGCCAAAGAACGGAGGGCGGCGCGGCTGGCGTTCTGACCTTGAGACACAGCTCCTCCCAATGGCAGCGAAGGTGCCCGACGCGCTCGCGGAGGACCAGGACGTCGTCGTCGGCCATGACGTACTGGCTCAGGTCGGTGTTGGCGGCGCTCAGCCGGCCCAGGCCGTCGGCCCAATCGTCGGGGACGTCCTGCGGCCGCCCCTCGTCCTCCTGCATACCATCGCAGGCAGTTAAGCCGCGCCGCCGAGGTCTGCCGACGCCGCTTCGTCCCTCTCTGCTGGTCTGGGACTTCTTTTCTCCGCTGCTGGGATGGCCCGCCCTCCAGGGGATTATCAGGCGGGGGGTGGGGGGCAGGGAGCCTTGTGTGTGTGTGTGTGTGTGTGTGTGTGTGTGTGTGTGTGTGTGTGTGTATACTCAAGGCTCTGACGGGTCTGAGTGGAGTCATGAGGTCAAGTTGGCTTTGTCGCTTGATTCAACAGACGTGACGAGAGTCGAGCCGATGCCACTTGGGGAAAACGAGGCGCGGCGCGGCGAGGCCCCGATCTTTGGAGCGAGCGTTACGGCCGCCGCATCTTGCCTCCTTTGTGAATCGGACACAAGGCGCCGAGGGATGGAGGGCATTTCCTTCGACGCGCCCCCGGTGCATCTGACAATTTGGTGGAGGTTTTGGGAAGCCGGCGGAAGGCCGCTGCCAAAACCGACGGGCGCATCCCGCCAACGCGCTTTGAGGCTATGCGCGCTCTTTCGTGCGTAAAGAGCGAGGAGAGCAAACGGTGAAAAGCTCCCACAAAGTTGAGTGAGGTGAAGGAGGGCCGCTTCAACGCCAAGACGCCTTTTCATTCTCAACTCGGGTGAATTTAGAAAGGCGACGACGCGGCGGCGACACGTGAGCGCGCGGGTGTTCTCGTACCTCGTCGAGCCCGGCCTTCGTGGCCTTCAGCCGCAGCGTCTCGTCTTCCAGTTCAGCCTCGCAGCGCTCCCAAATCTACGAAGGAAAAATCTTTTCTTGAGCGGGAACGCTGTTCACCGCGAGCGCGATGGCTGACGATTGGCAAAATCACGGCCCGACAAAAGGAACGCGGTCATCGCGCGGCAACCGAAGCCCCGCTTGGCACATTAGCCCCGAAACCAAGTCTCCTCGGATGGAAACGAGCTCCGCAAGCGCTCGGCAGATGACGACATCGCGCGCGTCGCCGGCGCGGGGCGGGATCCCCGCGCGTCCAAAATTTGCACCGCTCGGAAGAGCCCCGAGGCGGCGCGGCGATTCAGCCGTCCGAGGCGACGGGCCGTTCTCCGCGCTCGGACCGAAACGAAACGATACCCGCACGTGCGGGCTGACCAACGGTCGGAGAAAAACCAAGAAAGAAATCAAGAGATGAATGATGCTGCGTTGCGACAGGGGAGATTTCGGCGCCGCTTTGAGACTCGACGAGATCCCGACCCAGCGAGTCAAGGCGCCGCCGTGGGAGAAAGCCGTCACGTCAAGGAGGTTGCAGGGTTGGGGAAAAAAAATGCATGCAAAAATGATCAAGTCACAGATGATGTGACAACAAGACGACAGCGGGGGGGGGGTCCAAAAACGTACACGTTTGTTGTTGCACTGTCAAGTTTGAAGCCATCAAGCCGTCTGTGATTGCAAGATGAGTTCAAATAATCTCCTCTGCATCCCCAGTGAAATTTTGGGGCGTCGCGGCGCGCCGGTGGCGAGTCGTACCTGGACGACGGCCCGGGCGAGGTCCAGTCGGCGGCCCAGAGCGCCGCGGAGCTCGTCCCACTCGTCCCGCAGCGTCGCCAGCTCGGCCCCGACGGCGTCCTGCGCGCGGCGATCCGACGCGGAGAACAGCTCGCCGCCCACTTCCAACGTGGTGACCAAGTTGCACTGCTGCCGGTGGAAAAGCGTCCGGGCGTGCTGCGGCCACGCACACGCACACACACACATGGGATTGAGCCACCTCTGCCCTCGCGAAAGGCGCAAAAGTCGCCCTCGCTTCTTTGCCCTTCGGGTGGCGTCGCCCCAACGCCACCCGAAGGCCAAGGCCTTGACAGGGCTGCGGCCTAGGAAGTGACATCAGAAATTGCTCCTCCGGCGCGTTGTCATTCCACGTTGGACCGCTTGGAGGCGGGGCCAGGGCGGGACGATCCCGAACCGGCTTCCAACTTCATCAAAAGCGTGGCAAAAAAGGGGGAGGGATGCGCGCGCGCACGCACGCACC